CAGTCCGATCCAAACAACCTGCATCCTTGAAAATCGCCCTTGCCTTTTCAAGCAAAAATACGCAAAAAAACTACCTATTTTCTCCAAATCTTCTGTGATTTTTTGACAATATCATTAATTCAGTCCAGCGGTTAGATAGGTTATTTATTAGAGATGCTCAGGGAACCAAAATTGATGATGTAAATCACTCTGGCGACTAAATCAGCGATAATAGCCAAGGGGGTGAGCGACTGAATTTCAAAAACATATTTTATATATATATATAGGGTATATAATCAACAGCAGTATCATGAGCATTTGATTTCACCAATATTACATTCATTCTTGATCTTTGAATACAAAAAATTGAAGCAAATTCACATCATCAGATAATGTTAAATTATTTAATTCTGAAATATCAGTCTTGAACCCAATCTAATCGAGATAGCTCCATATCTCAATATGGAAGTTCTCTGCATATTTTATAATAATTGAAAAATGGGCATTTTTGCCCAGATCAAAATACAACAAAACATTAATTAACAAAATACCTTTTATTCTATTTATATGCCAATTTGGATATAATTTTAACAACTGCATATATTTGTTTTTTTCAGGATTTTAGTATGTCGGGTATGAGATGTGGTGCTGTCTATACTTGGAATGACAGAGTGTTAATTGCTCTTAAACAAATATCTCCTTTTTTTGGCATGCCTACTTTCTCACAGTGTTATTTGAATGAGATGATCAAAGATAAAGGTAAGTTTTCATATCACTATCATTTGCATAATTAATATTCTTACTGATTTTTATTATTCCTTGTTCGAAGTTCGAATGAGGTCTGAAATGGGTATTTATAGTTTAGTTTCCTAGCTGTACCTCATGCTGTCATACCTTGGCCAATTCTCTTCAAACTTAACACCTATTTATGCATGTGAACATGTAGCAATTTCTGATGGTTAAAAGCCGACTGCAGTTTTTGTTGTAAAAATCAGATATTTTGACATGTACAGAAGCAGATCACACACATGTGCATTGCGATTTACTTCAAACTTGTTGGAAAGATTAACGGGTTCGTTCAGGAGCGTGCCACTTTGATATGTAAATTTGACTTAAGATGGCTGAATGGTGTTTTTGTTTTTGAAAATTATTATTTCTGACATATATTTTTTTGATCAATTCACTTTAAACCATATATATATATATAGTAATACATATGCACATACAATAATAAAACGACTCAAGCTTTTGTCCATTATGGGAAGGCAAGGAGTTCATTATTGGCAGGGATGGCAGTACATTGTACATATTGGGTTGCATGATGTTATTTTTCCGAAATATGATTCTAGATGGTTGACCATTGGCCATTTTTTTTCAACACTATGTTTCTGTTTTTCTTGATTTACAATGACTTGTTATTTTGTACACAGATTGGGTAGAAAAAACATATCTGCCAACAAATCTTCAAAGACTTAGGAAGGCTCATAAAAATATGTCAGATGGATTAACTAAGATAGGAGTTCCCCATCTTGTCAGGCCGTCAGGTCTGTTCATTTGGGCTGATTTTAGTAAGGTTAGTTAAGAAAAATATTATCAAATTACAATGTATCTTTCATTAATTTCTGATTGCTTAATTTAGTCTGTGCAATTATATTTATTTACCATTGTGTATTTTTGTTTCATAGTATATTACCCCATCAACATTTGATGGTGAAATGGAACTCTTTTATGAGATATTAGACAATAAGGTTTACGTAGCTCCTGGTCAGGATTTCTTTTGCTGCCAACCGGGGTGGTTTAGGATTATATTTTCCATCGATGAAGATAAACAAGAAGTTTGTAAGTTCTGACTACATGAATTTTGTCCCACAAAGTATTATTCAAGTTTAACCACAAAGCTAATTTTATGACATCAAAGTTCTTTGCTGTGAATTTTGTTTTTTTCATTTTGTGTCTGTTTTTCTTAATTTATGTAATACTGGTATGAAATGTCCATGAAATGATTATGATTTGTCTTGGTTACAGAAAATTATGAAGAAGTCGATATGCTGTTATTTCAGTGATGTGTTTTACAGATTGTACATTCATGTAAATTTGTTTTTTCTTACAGCACTGAAAAGACTTTCTGTGGTACTGAAGAAAAGAATGAGTTCTTTGAACTCAGAATGAGTTTTGTTATGCATGCTTTAACAATTCAGAGATTCTCTAAAGGGTTACTGAGCACGAGTAACTACACAACCAATCAATCTCGTAATTATTTCAGAAAGTGTTAAAATTGTAAATAATCTTGCAGAATATATATTTTTTGCCATGTTAATCAGAAATAATGTGTTTGTGAATGTAAAATCATATTCTAGTGTAAAACATAAATAAATCAAGCTATACTATGTTTTATGCATATTCTATGGTAATAATGGCTGTTTTATGGATATTCTATGGTAATAATGGTCGTTTCATGCATATTCTATGGTAATAATGGCTGTTTTATGCATATTCTATGGTAATAATGGCCGTTTTATGCATATTCTATGGTAATAATGGCTGTTTTATGTATACTGTATTCTATGGTAATAATGGCTGTTTTATGCATATTCTATGGTAATAATGGCTGTTTTATGCATATTCTATCATAATGGTAATAATGGCTGTTTCATGCATATTCTATGGTGATAATGGCTGTTTTATGGATATTCTATGGTAATAATGGCTGTTTTATGGATATTCTATGGCAATAATTGCTGTATGGGTGTTTTATGAATATTCTATGGTATATGCGGTATCCTCGTAATAACTTTATTATTATACATCTCATGTTCTTGTGCTCACACCAGCAATTCTTACAAGAAGTATAAGTATGGATGTATCAAAATATTAAGGCTGCTGTGAAAAACCCAAAGGAAGTTACTGAATTTTTCCATATTAATGTTGGGCAGCATCAGCGTTCTGTTATATCATCTTTACTGTTTTGCTTCTATATAAATGACCTCAAAAGTGCCCTCCAACAAGGACAGAAATAAGTTGTGTATATAAATACTTTAAAACTTTTTTATTTGTTATATGCGGATGATTTGGTGTTGTTCAGCAGCACACCTGTTGGATTACAAAGATTACTTAATAACTTTATTATTGTCTAAAATGGAGACTGAATATTAATTGAAAAAATCAAAAATCGTTGTTTTCCGAATGGAGGGGTCGTCTGAAAAAATATGAAAAATGATTTCCGTGGGGTAAAGAAATTAAAATTGTAGCAAAATATAATTATTTAGGCATAGTTTTTTCGAGTTCAGGCAAATGAATTCAAACACAGAAAGATATCTGGAAGCAAGCTAATAAAGCACTATTCTGTTTGGAAAAAAACATTATGGGGTTGAGGGGACTTCAGCCTGATCTTGCATGCAAAGTATTTGACTGTAAAATATTGCCAATTTTGTTACATAGTAGTTGTGTGTGGGGAATGCGGGGTGTAATAGGTGACATAGAAAAAGTACAAAATAAGTTTTGTAAATTTCTATTGAGAGTTAATTTCAACGCTTCCAATGCTGCAGTAAGGGGAGAATTAGGAAGACACTCAGTTAGAGTTTATGTTAACATTGAAATGGTCAGATTTTGGTTGAAACTGAATCAAGAGGGCCGTTATTTTAAAGGACTGTTATAATTATCTATACAATAGGGCAGAAGGGGGGTCTAGGTGTTATTCTATGTACATCTTGTTATGGACATGTATGGTATGAACAAAGAGTTGATAATAGCAACATGTTCTTCAGTGAATTTAAAAGAAGATGTTTTGATATATCTAGACAGAATTGGTGTGCAGAAATTAATAAAAATGTAACATTTCAAACATATTGCATTTTTAAACGAGATTTAATATGTGAAAGATATCTTGCTGCTATTTCTATTCATGTGCTATAACCAGACTTAGAATTTCCTGTCGTCCCAAAGAAAGTGAAAATGGTAGAACATTGGGTACTCCACGTGACCAAAGGTTATGTCCGTTTGGTTGTAGGGTCACAGAGGACAAATACCATTTTACTATGGTTTGTCCAAAATATGAAGCACTTGGACAAAAATTCTTACCAAAATATTATTTTTGACCACCAACCAATTGGTGCATTGCTGCAGAGTACAAACTCATATATTTTATTAAGTTTGGGTAAATATTTGTTTAAGAGTTTTCATTACAGAGAAACTGAAATGGAAGTATAATTTGAAGTTCAAATGTATATGTCTCTTGTAATTTTAAAGCAACCGTGTGTAATTTTACTTTTGAAATGTAACAGTACTTTAGGCCGGTGGCCATATAGTGCGGAATAAAGAATAATAATAACTTGGGACAAATTTACAAATACATCTTCCAACTTTGCAATCACTTTGCACCATGTGTCAACAGCCTAAAACCATGATGTACTGACAGCAGCAACAACTTTTTCATTGGAAATTAGAGGGAATTTGAATTTTTTTTATGAATTTAAATAATACAACAATCTCCACGACTAATTACTATAAATGATAGACATCATGGTACGAAAGAATGCACGCACGGACATTTCCACATAACTTTTTCATGTGTGTGATGAAACGAAAAAAACCTACCAGGTGGTTTACTCATGCAGTATCCCATGCAAATACTAACAACGACCGATTTAGCTTAATTTTAGCCATCATTCGGTCATGTCATCAAACTGCTGTACGAATAATTCGAATTTTATCTGAATTGGCGGCTATTTCATGTTTAGAAATGCTTTAAAATCGATATGGTATAATTTGCTTATAAATGGGCATTTTCTATACATTCACGTAATGTTTTCGCATTTAACAGTGGGGTTGGCTTTACAGTGACTTAGGTCAAACATACAAGCAACTTCGCCAATTTTTCAATCCCCTTATTCCAGCTTT